TGTGAGCCTTCCAACCTTCTAAGTATTCCTTTATATGTGGTTCAGAGTTCTGGGATCATCCCCTGAACCTGCTTGGTCGGGTATTCTGTGTTGTTGTTGGCGGAGCTCTCTGCTATATGTCCACCCAATCTGCCATCTTGTTTGTTCCTTTCAGGAATCCAACTGATTTTTGTATGTTGATCTTGTACCCTGCCACTTTGCCAATCTATTGATGAATTCCAATACTTCTCTGTCAGAGTCTTTGGAATTTTCTAAGCATAGGATCATACTGCCTGCAAATGGAGAGAGTTTTACATCTTCTCTGCCAATTTGGATGCCTTTAATTTCTCTTTCTTGTCTTATAGCTCTGGCTAAGACTTCCAGAACAATATCGAATAGGAGTGGTGATAAAGGGCATCCTTGTCTGGTTCCTATTCGCAAAGAGAATGGCTTCAGTTTTTCACCATTGAAAGTGATGTTGGCTGTTAGTTTTGTATGTATTTCCTTAATTGTGTGGAGGAATTTCCCTTTTATTCCTATTTTGTTGAGTGTTTTTATCAGGAATGTATGTTAGAGTTTGTCAAATGCCTTTTATGCATCAGTTGATATGATCATGTGATTTTTTCCCTTTGTTTTATTTATGTGATGGATTATGTTGATTGGCAATGGTATTTTCAATAGCCTCATATGCATGTGCAAGTTGGACAGTGAATAAGGAATATTGTAGAAGGATTGAGGCAGTTGATTTATGGTATTGGAGAAGAATATTAAAAGTACCATGAACTGCCAGAAGAACAAACAAACTGTGTGTTGGAAAAAGTACAGCCAGAATGCTCCTTAGAAGCAGGGATGGTGAAACTTGTCTCTCAGACTTTGGACATATTATCAGGAGCTGTCAGTTCCTGGAGAAGGACAGCATGCTTGGTAGAGTGGAGGGTCAGTGAAAAAGAGAAAGACCCCTCAATGAGATGGATTGGTACAGTGTCAGCAGTAATAGGCTCAAACTTAACAAAAATTGTGAGGATGGCGCATTACTGGGCAATATTTTGTTCTGTTGTGCATAGGGTCATGAAGAGTCAGAACCGAATCTATGGCATCTAACAATAACAACATACTGAAAAGACTTGAAGTATTCAGGTGGTGGTGGTAGTGGTAGTGTGCCGTGGAGTCAGTTCCAACTCATAGCAACCCTGTACAGGGTTTCCAAGGCTGTAAATCTTTACAGGAGCAGAAAACCTCATCTTTCTCCTGCGGAAGAACTGGTAGTTTCAAACTGCTGACCTTGCGGTTTGCAGCCCGATTCATAACCACTACACTACCAGAGCTCCATGAAGTATTCAGGTAGTCACTATCAAATGATAAGAAAAGCAGTATTTAACTGTAGTAATTTTATTGAAGACAATGAAACTTAAAAATGAAGTCTTTCATAGCCTTTTCCCCTGCACTGTCTATAATATATTTTTATGCCTACTGAATCTTAAAATGGCAGAGTGGCATCATCAGAACTCTTTGTGTAACTTCACTAGAGGAGAGAGGGAATCCAGACCCACATCAGCCCACGGCTGGTTCCTATGAACTGGAGCTCAGATATGCCTCCTCTTGCCAACCTTTTCCAGTGGCACTCTCTACTTCTCAGCTGTGCTTGTTAATTTGTTGCAGTGGTCACACAGAACTTCCAGACAATACTCAAGATTATGGCATCTAGTGGAGAAGTAGCAGATTATCAGAGTCCTGGTGTGTCACTGGAGGATAAGCACTGAATTGCTAACCGCATGATAAGCAGTTCAAACCCACTAGCCACTCCGTGGCAATCCTATGTAGGTTGCTAGAGTCAGAACTGACTGGATGGCACTTAACAACAACAACAGGCTACAACGCAGGATTGGGATCAGGAATCACGTAGGCAAAGTCTCCCTTCAGTGCACGACAGCTGTCTCAGCTTAGCCATGCTGGGCTCCTCGTGACCCCCTGAAGATCAGCCTCCTCTTGCCCCAGCTCAGGTCTGGCCTCTATCCTGCAAGGGCAAGTGTAACAATGCTCATAGCTCCACTGATCAGTGTGTGTCAGAAGTGTCCTATACATAAGACATTTACTAAGCCACCATTTGTTTGAAAAGCAACAACAACAACAAACCCTGGTAACTGTGCTCGGTCTGCCTTCTTCACCTGAAAGTCTTAATTTCTTATCTCGAAATTTTTTCTTGCTTTCTAGCCCCTGACTTATTTTCCATCTTTGGTTGTACTTTATTGCCTTGAGCAATCCCCTAACTGCTTTAATTTTCTTTTTCTCAAAGGTCCCTACTGATTCTCTTTGTGGAGATTGACTACTGGGAGCGACTGCTGTTTGAGACACCCCGTTATGTGGTGAATGTGGCAGAACGAGCTGAGGACTTACGCATTCTCCGTGAAAACTTGCTACTTGTTGCTAGAGACTACAATAGGTAGAGATCCAGTCCTCACAGCAGCCCTTCCACATGCCGATTTTCTTCTTTGTCTTATCTGCCCATGATGTTGTCCATTTCCCACACTGTTCATCCTTTACATCAGTCCATCCCAGCAATGCTTTCGTATACTCTCTCCTATGGTCCTACAAGTATTCCTGATGTGTATTTTTGTCTTCTAGCTTCAAGGTAGAGAGCAAAAACATCCCAGTATCCCTATCCCATAAGAGACTTAGACTATATATGTTGTAGGACTGGGGTCTCCTCTAGGAATAAGAATGAGTGGGGTTAGGATTATGGGCAGAAAATAATAGCAGATCATTGAACTACAGCCATGGCCTCCCTTGGTACTCATTTCTGGAGAAAAGCTTGGTTCTAGGTTGGGTACCTTTCTTAGTCCAGTTAAAGTTTATATGGGTGGAACTAGCAGTCTTGTTTGGGTGGCTAGAACTGTACTTTCTAATACAGTAGGTATTAGCTACATCAATTTATAGAAAGCAACTGAAGTCATGGGGTGAATGAGATCATCTAGGGAGAGTGGTTCTGGATGAAAGAACCTTGAGGAACTCTGGCAGCTCAGGGATAGCATAGGAAGTAAATTCTTTACTCTATCCCTGGTTCTTAACTGAATGAAACTTCCAAGGGACAATGGAGACAGAAGGATACTTCTACTGAATGGAAAGGTAGAGAAGAGGAGAATTGTGGCCCAGCATCCAGGGACAGAGTGTGTCCTAAGGAAGGGGGTAGTCCACCATGTTAAAAATCTAGAGAGGATGAGGCAGATAAGGCTATAAGATGAACTTACTGAGAGCAGTTTTAGAAGAGAGCAATTTTAGTTACATGAGATATTTACATTAAAATGAACTAAACTTAAACACTCAGTTGTTCATTTGCATGGAACACATTCAAGTGCCCCATAGCCATGTGACTGGTGACTGCATTTTGAACAACACAACTTGTAGGAAGTTTTGCTAGGCAGCACTAATGTACGATAGTGAACTTGCAGATTTCTCCATGAAGTTTTCTAGTGGGGAGGAAAGGTTTTCAGAGCTTGTCCCACCAACAACCTGTCCTCTCTTGCACACAGGATTATTGCCACGCTTTCCCCCGATGAGCAGGCCCTATTCAAAGAGCGTATCCAATTCTTGGATAAGAAAATCCAGCCTGGACTCAAGAAATTGCACTGGGCTTTGAAGGGAGCCAGTGCCTTCTTCATCACAGAGTGTCGCATCCATGCCAGCAAGGTGGGCCACAGTCATCAGACCCTAAAGGTTGGCCAACAAGCTGGCGCATGGTAATAAATATCTGAGTCTTGGATAGAGGGGGGAAGACCTGGGAGTAGTGTGACAGAAACTAAGTGTGTTTGAGGGAGAACTTCTTTAATATTGGCAACTCTCACTGAAAACTTCTTTAATATTGGCAACTCTCACTGAAAGACAGGTGGGAGGGTAGAATTAGGTCCATAAGGTTTCTTCCCACACCTTCTCATAGATGGGGTCTGTCTCCAGGTGCAGATGATTGTAAATGAGTTCAAGGCATCCACTCTGACCATTGGCTGGCGAGCCCAAGAGATGTCAGAGACACTGCTGGTGCGTATTACTGGCAAGCGGATATACCAAGACCTGGAATTTGAGGAGGACCAAAAGGGGCATCGGGAAGCTGTGCAGCAGAAATTGATGAGTCTGTACCAGGATGTGGTTGGTATCATGACCAACTCCTATGAGGTCTTCAAGAATGATGGTCCTGAGGTAGGGGTTCTGGTGGCTGGACAAGCCCCTAGTTCATGGCCCCATCAAACTATTATCTTGTTCTTTTCTCTTTGTCTCCAGTGTGTGCTGCTCAGACATCCTGCTCTAGTCTTAGCGTCAGTCAAGACCTTTGACCTTTCAGACTTCACTCCAGAACTCAGGCCTCTTAGTTTAACCACTTTATTCCTTTCCATGTTGGCTGCTTCTCATTTCCCAGGACCCATGTTGTTTCTTTTCCCCCACCTCTTCCCACCAGATTCAGCAGCAGTGGATGCTATACACAATTAAACTGGATCGCATGATGGAGGATGCTCTGCGCCTGAATGTGAAGTGGTCCCTGCTGGAACTGTCCAAGGCCATCAGTGGAGATGGGAAGACTACCCCAAATCCACTCTTCAGAGTCCTTGTTATTTTGCAGAGTGACATGCGGGGGGCTGTAGCACAGGTCTGGACCACTTTACCCCCTCCACCCCAATTTGTGTTCTTCACAATCTCTAAGCATAGTGCTTGCCCCTAACTTTATCCTAAAGCCTCCAGGGCTTTTCTTGACCCTTTGATTCTGTTCTTAAGTGTCCGACCTCATTATTCCTGAGGCTTATCTCCTCCAAGGTCTATGCTAAGGCCCTTCCCATTGTGTTCTCTTCACAGGTGGAATTCTCACCCACTCTGCAGACTTTGGCAGGTGTAGTCAATGACATTGGCCACCACCTTATCTCTACCATCTCTGTATTCCGCCACCTCCCTGACATTCTCATCAGGTGCAAGTATCATCGAGAACCCATCCATGTACTTGTGGGTGAGTGGTCAATGGGAAGGGCACTAGGTACACCATTATCAGAAACTTAGGTGTAGACAGAACTAGGAGGAGAGACTACGAGTATTTCCAGACATTTTGATCCTAGCATCTCCATGACTGATGGAAAACACAGGTTGAGGAGCCATCTTCTGGGAGGGAGCAGGGACCAAGGATGGCTATTGAAATTAGGTGACTGATGCTCAAGGAATGTGGAGCTTGGGGTGGGTTCTTAGGATTTAGCAAGACAAATTTGGAACTGAGACTGGAATATAAGAGACCCAGATACCAAGTGAGATGCCTGAATCCTAAGGACGAGTCGCTGAAAGGTCTACTTTTACTTTTTGGTTTCTTTATTTTTGCAACCTTATGTTTGAGCTTCATTCTTTCAGGATCTAGTGTTGTAATGGAGGGTTAGGGCAGCAGCCAGGTGCTAGACTGAAAGTTGGATTGGGATGGAAATCAATGAGAACTATTTTACTGGATCCTTGAAGAGCGAGATGAGGACATCAAGAAGATTCAGGCCCAGATCAGCAGTGGTATGACTGCCAATGCAAGCCTTCTGCAGAACTACCTCAAGACTTGGGATATGTATCGGGAAATCTGGGAGATCAACAAGGATTCTTTCATTCGCCGATATCAGCGCCTCAATCCTACTGTCTCTTCCTTTGATGCCGACATTGCCCGGTAAGTAGTGAGGGTGTATGTGAAGGTCTGTCTCTAAGAGGCCGAGAGTATGAGAAGAATGTCTGGGCCTAAAAGATTCGGGAAGGGAGAATGGAGGTGCATGAAATGTGAGTCCTATGCCCTAGGTAGGGCACTGAACCTTTGTTTTGGAGAAAAAGAAATTCTAGAAATCTGAAAGATGAGAGATGCTAACACTACAATTTAAAGAAGGCAGTTTGGTGTTAAATTATAGCTTTCTTAAATTCTAAGCTTAACTTCCACCTTTTTGTCCTTTGTTCTTCCATTCGTTCATCCATTCAGTAAACACTATCAAACATCAAATATTAGTACTATGGGCCATGAGGAATAAAAAATCAAGATTGAAAAGTTCTTTCTCACAGAGGGCTAGGGCATATAGTAAGGAAGATAAATGTACCTCTGTAAGAACAGCGGCCTTGATGCCTTGAGATGGGTTAGAATCCCAGCTCTACCACTTACTAGTTGTGTAATCTTAGGTGGGTTACTTATATTATCTGGGCATCAGTTCCCTTTAAAATGGATATCATAATACCTCCCTTATAAGGTTGTAATATTATTAAATACATGTGCAAACACTTTGTAAACTATAAAATACTGAAGTAATGTACTTATCATAAAGCTTTGATGAGATATGTATTATGATTAAACTATAGAAGGTGCCAGGACAGTTCAAAAAGAGAGAGAATTTCTAGCTGGGGACATTAGGAAAAGCTTCATGAAAGAAGTGACTTTAGGGTAGGGTTTTACAAGATGGGTAGGAATGCAACATACTGAGATGAGGAGTGGGGAAGGAGATCCAGATGGAGGGAATAACAAAGCAAAGGCATCAAGAGGGAGCACATGGGCATGTTTATCAGATAGAGAGGAGTCTAGAACATAGGTACAGGAAAGGAAGTCTTGAAGCTAATTTAAATTTCTCTATCATCTTGTGAGGCCAGTTCTATTATTATCACCCTGTTACAGGTGAGCAAACCGAGGCCCAGGACATTTAAGTAACTTACTTGAGGCACTCACAGCCTTTGAGTGTGAACTCAACCCAGGTCTTTGTGACTCTGAAGCCTCAAATGCCAGATTAATGGGTTTGACTGATATCTTGTGTGCAGGCAGTGGTTGGGAAAATGATGCGATCGATCCCAGTTGTAGTGTTTAAGGATGGACAGACATGGAAGATACCTGGGAATAGAGAAATATGAAGAGGTGTGGCACTGTACGATAAGCACTGGCCTGCTAACTGAAAAGTTGGTGGTTCAAACCCACTAGCCACTCCTCAGAAACCCTATTCAGGGTTGCTACGAGTCAGAGCTGACTCCATGGCACTTAACAACAAAAACAACAGTGGGGATATGGAGTCCTGGATTGTGCAAATTGTTAATGCACTTTGACTGCTAAACTAAAGGCTGGAGGTTTGCCTCTACCCAGAAGTACAGTGGAAGAAAGGTCTGGTGATTACTTTTGAAAAATCAGCAATTGAAAATCCTTCCGGTGTACAGTTCTACTCTGAGACACATAGGGTCACGATGAATCAGAATCCACTGGATCACCACTGGATTTTCTTGAGTGGGGATTTGGGGCCCTTACAGCTACACGGAGGTTGCCAATAATGTGCAGAAGGAGGAGACTCTTGTCAACATCCAGTTTGTGCTGCTGGACTGTTCGCACCTCCAGTTCTCACTGGTGCAGCACTGTAACGAGTGGCAGAACAAATTCACGTCTCTGCTTAAGGAGATGGCAGCTGGGCGCCTGCTGGAGCTGCACACCTACCTGAAGGAGAATGCGGAGAAGTATGGGGCATCCAGCACAGTGGCATGGGGGCTTCGGGGGATGGAGGGACAGGGCAGCCAGTGCAGCCTTGAAGGTGGGGCAGCCTTTCCACTGACCAATCTTCTCTCTACCTGCCTTCAGAATTAGTCACTTGCCCCAGACACTGGAGGAACTAGGGGTCAGTTTGGAACTCATGGACACCCTACAGCATGACCTACCCAATCTAGAGACCCAGATCCCCCCCATTCATGAACAATTCACCATCCTCGAAAAGTATGAAGTGACGGTTCAGGACAGCGTGAGTACCAATGGTATTGGGTCCGTCCAAATTGGGTCCAGGCCATCACCAGATTGTGAGGGAAGCTGACTTCCCCCATGGTAAATCTATGTGCTATCAGGAAGGAAGAGCAAAGAGAGGGGAAGAAAGCTAAAGACTCAAAAGACCTGGCTTTCCTGACCCATCTGAGAGCCAGAACTAGTTTAGATGATATTTCAGGTCAGCTTGTGCACATGGATTTCTTTTAGGCCCAGCAACACATTGCTTGATTTCTTTGTGTGTAAAACTTTCCAGTGGAGTTAGAAAGAGTCATCAGAAGCTCTGGTGAGGAGCCACAGACCCCTGCTCATGAGCTGCCCTTCCCTCCTTAATGTCCCCAGGTATTGGAGATGCTTGACAGTCTAAATGGAGAGTGGGTCATTTTCCAACAAGTTCTGATTGACAGTGAACAAATGCTGAAGAAACACAAGGAGAAATTCAAGACAGGCCTTATTCACTCAGCTGGTGATTTCAAGAAGAAAGCACATAATCTTTTGGAAGATTTTGAATTCAAAGGTATCCCTTTCTCAACCTTTTCTCCTTCTTTAGCCTTTTGTGTGCATGGTTTAAAAAAAAAAAAAAAAAAATATATATATATATATGTATATATGTATGTATGTATAAGATATAAGATTTACCATTCTAATAGTTTTAAGTGTGTAATTCAGTGGCATCAATTACATTCACAATTTTGTGCAACTATCTCCACCATTTGTTTCCAAAACATTTTCATCACCCCAAACAGAAACTATGCATTAAGCCTTAACTTCCCCTTAGGCCCAGGTAACCATTAATTTGTTCCATTTCTATGTGTTTGCCTATTCTTTTCATAAAAGTGGGGCCATACAATATTTGTTCGTTGATATATTTCACTTAGTGTGCTTTCAAGGTTCGTCCATATTGTATTGTGTACTAGTACCTCATTTCTCTTTATATCTGAATAACACTCTACCATATGGATAGTCCACATCTTGATATTTGTTGTTGTTGGACAATTGGGTTGTTTTCATCTTTTGACTATTGTGAATAATATGACAATGAACGTTGTTGTATTTATTTTGACCCAATCTTTCCAGAATCAGAGCAAGGACCAAAGGTATGGGTCCTGGGAAGAAAGAAAGGATAAAGGTGAAAGGAGGAAGGATGGGTGCTGCGGAATGGAGTGAGCTGTGGTACTTAGGGTTTCAGTCAGAAATAGGGAAGATGAGCATATTGTTTGCAGTGAGAAGGCACAACCCTGCTCATATTTCCAACTTCTCATGTCACACCTAGTTCTGATTTGCAAGTCACATTTCCTAAGGTTAACTATCATTCTTTCCAGGAAATCTCTTGCTCTCCTCTTTCCTCTCCGATGTAAGATTCATCCACAGAGAGGTTGGGGAAGCCCTGGATGTGACTGGGAATCTGAGCTTTGCTTCATCTTGAATTCCCCACAGGTCCTTTCACTAGCCACGTGGGACACACGCCTGCCCTAGATCAGATTGCACAAGTACGGGCCATGCTGATGTCCATGCGGGATGAAGAAAACTCTCTCCGCACCAACCTGGGCATCTTCAAGATTGAGCAACCGGTCTCCAAGGACCTCCAGAACTTGGAGAAGGTATCCTGTTGAGCCAGGCCTCTGTGATAACCTAGGCTAAAGGGCAGGGGACAGGAGAACGACTCCTAAGGGCCTGGGATAAACAGCTGGGACCAGGGAGATAAGATAGACCCTTGAGGAAATTTTTCTTTTCTTTTAAATTGAGGTGAAATTCACATAAGATAAAGTTAACCATTTTGAAATGTACAATTCAATGACATTATATTCAAAATGTTATATAACCATTACCACTATCTAGCTTCTGAACATTTTCATCCCCCCAAAGGAAGACTCTATCCCCATTAAATGTTTATTCCCTATTCTGTTCTACTCCCAGCCTTGTTGTTAAGTGTCATTGAGTTGGTTTGGACTCATAGCGACCCAGTATAGTTTTCTTGGCAACCACTAGTTTACTTTCTGTCTGAATGGATTTGCCTATTCTGCACATTTCATATAAGTACAGTTATACAACATGTGGTCTTTTTTGTCTGACTTTTTCCCTTTAGCATAGTTTTCACGGTACATCCATGCTGTAAAATGTACCGGAACTTCATTCTTTATTATGGCTGAATAATACTCCATTGTATGAATGTACCACATTTTGTTTACCCATTTATGGCAATTAGGTTGCTTCTACCATTTTGCTATTATGAATAGTGCTTCTGTGAACATTCCCTGTGCAAGTATCTACTTGAGTCCCTGCTTTCAGTTTTTTTAGGTATATACCCAGAAGTGGAATTGCTGGGTCAAATGGGAGTTCTATGTTTTTTTCAGGGAGAATAAGTAGCTTTCTATATATATTTTTAAATGTTTTATTGTGAATTATGTGATAGTTTACATGGGAGAACATTAGCTTTACATTCATCCTATCGTATATCGTTACATTGCCATGGTTACAATCCCCTCCATGCATCATCAACCAACCAAAGGGTATACCCTGTAAGCCTGCATCCCCCCACCCCATCATCAGCACACAGTCCCTCTCCCTCTCTGGGTCTAAAGTCCACAGCCGCTCCATATCTCCACATCATCGTCTCTACCTCCATCTCAGGCGTCACTGCTTCTCTGGGTAGGGTCCCGCTCTCCACTCTTCTCCCTTGATGGTCCCAGGGACCTCTGCTCCTAGACTGCAAAATCAATCACTCCCCTCCTTTTACTACAAAACGTCTACATTTACATTTCCAACCCTCACAATCAGTCCTGATAACAATTATTCACTACTGTATCACAAGAGACCTATCCACATCTTTCATCAGTCCCTCCCAGACAGATTGGATACTACTCAGTGGAGATTCTACCTTCCTCTGCGCCCTCTGGATCTAGGTTCCCTCTTGAAAGCTTGTAAGCCAGTTACTTCTTGCCTTTGTAGCCCCCCACCCCTTTGGGTAGCCAATGTCCAAGTTGCCCATCCCTGTCTACTCTGTGTATGGAGGGGGTGGGAATGATCCTCACTGTAAAGATTTGTTCCCTCTTTTGAGCTACTGCATCCATAGGTGTAGGTCAAGTTCATCAAATTGTATCAGATTACTCTTTTTTTCCTCTTCTTTCTTCTTCTAGTTGAGCTCTGATCATCTAGTCATTGAAGCCAGGCCAAGTGGGTATTATCTGCAAGTGTGGGTGTTCTTATGCATATGCTCTCTCTTTTTATCAGCAGGGTGCTTCACTCTCCATTCTAGTCCTCTGTGACTGGCTATGTCACTGACTCTGGGCCCAAGAGTTCCCAGGTCTTGCCACACTGCTGGCCAACCAGGTCTCCAGCTGGGTTCACAGGAGTCTATTGAACGTTGTAGGGCTTAGCTCGCAGCTTCATTGCTGTTTTTCCCTCACTTCCCCTTATCGGTGATGAACGTGGTCACCAATCAGAGAGTGTATTCCCATTGAGTCCTAGTCTTGGAAGTGGGTTTGCCCTGAGGGGACCCAACCACTCGCCTTGATGTCTCCTGGGTTAGCAACTTGCTTGTTCTTATAGTAATCAGTTGGTCTGCCTATATCGTTTTGTATTTCTCCTGTCGGTCTTTCTTTCAAGAAGTATCTTCTGTTCTTCTAGCTGCTCCAGGCTGATCTGTTTGTCCTTACAAGAGGCAATTTCCCACCTCAGAAGATTCTGGATGCTGATTTTGTAGTGCCATACCAGGACTCCATGTCCATCCCTGTTGTTGTTGTTGCTATGTGTCGTCAAGTTGGTTCCAACCCATAGTGAACCTGTATAGGGTTTCCGAGGAGTGTCTAATGAGCTTGAGCTCCCAACCTTGCAGTTCAAACTGAATTTGCTGTCTAGCGCATTAACCCATGGTGCCACACCAGGACTCTATGTCCTCCTGGTGGTGGTGGTAATATGCTGTGGAGTCGGTTCCAACTCATAGCTACCCTGTATGAGGTTTCCAAGGCTGTAAATCTTTATGGGAGCAGAAAGCCTTATCTTTCTCCCACAGAACAGCTAGTAGTTTCAAACTGCTGACCTTGAGGTTCGCAGCGCAACTCATAACCACTACACTACCAGACCTCCTATGTCCATCCTAGTGGACGTAAAATCGTATCCTTTTGGATTTGATTTGCATTTCCTGAGTGACTAATGATGTTGAGTATCTTTCTTAGTGCTTTGGCTTTAGGAATTTTTAAAGCAAGGGAGTGGAGGAAAATTGTGAACAAAGGAGACAGACAGCTGTATTATCCAGAAGGAAAGAATTCTAAGAATGAGAAGAACATCTATCAGGGAGCAAAAAGATAAGAGCCCTTAACTCTTGCAATACCTCTCTCCTCTTGGCCGATAGGAGCTTGATGCTCTGCAGCAAGTCTGGGAGATCACACGGGACTGGGAGGAGAACTGGAACCAATGGAAGACTGGCCGGTTCCTGACTCTGCAGACAGAGACTATGGAGACCATGGCCCATGGACTGTTCCGTCGCCTCACAAGACTAGCTAAAGAATATAAGGTGTGTGGAAAGAGGAGGGGGGTCAGCAGGAGATAAAGCTTGTTGAGGAAGGGGACATAGACAGGGATTGTTGGGTTTTCTGATGCTGCCCACTTTTGCTCAGGACCGAAACTGGGAAATTATTGAAACCACTCGATTGAAAATAGAACACTTCAAGAGGACCATGCCTCTCATTGCAGATCTGCGGAATCCAGCCCTTAGAGAGAGGTAAGGCTACCCCTCTGCTCCCAGAGCGTGACCACTACACTTGGCTCTTGCAGTCCCTTCTAGAGTTCATAGCTCTCTTCCCCTCTGTCTACAAATATGTCTTGAAGAACCCTTCCCTAGGGCCTGCTGCTGTCCTGTTCTTTGCACTGTCATTGACTGTCCTATCTTTTGGACAGTTGTTCTTCCTCTTCTGCTCTGCCTTTCTGTTGTCTGTATTGACTGAGGTCCTCAAGTGGTACAAAAGATTTGCACTCAACTACTAACCCAAAGGAGGATCTGCACTGGACTGCGAACCATAAGGTCGTCAGTTCAAACCCACCAGCTGCTCCTCAGAAACCCTGTACAGGGACGCTATGAGTCAGAATCAACTTGACGGCCTTAACAACCACACTAACCCAAAAGAGTTCTAGTACGGCGCTGTAGGATAAGCACTGGGCCACAAGGTTGTTTTGAACTTCAAGGTGGTGTTTCAAACCCACAAACTGCTCCTTGGAAACACTATACCAAGTCGCTATGAGTTGAAACTGTATCAACAACCACAACTAACCCAAAGGTTGGCGATTCGAACTCACCCAGTGGTGCCGCTGAAGAGAATCCTGCCTATCTGACTCCATAAAGATTACAACCACAAAGCCCTTGGAGCTCAAGTCTGTTCTGTAACGCCTAAGCTCACCATGAGACAGAATTAACTCTATACCAACAGGCGTATATCTTTTGTTATGTAGAAGTTTTTATTTTGATTGAGTCAGCAATATAACTTTCATGATTTTTGCTTTTGTGCCTTGTTTAAGATCTTCCCTATTTCAAAGTTATAATTACATTTTCCTCTGTATTTTCTTCTGTTGTTAAGTGCCGTTGAGTCAGTTCCGACTCATAGCAACTCTCTTTAGTGTTTCTGAGGAGCAGCTGGTGAGTTTGAACCACCAACCCTGCAGTTGAAAGTGACCTTACAGTGCTTATCCTACAGTGCACTTAGAATTTATTATATGATTGCTGTTGTTAAGTGCCATCAGATCAGTTCCAAATCCTAACAACCCTGTATAGGGTGTCCAAGGAGTGACTGACTGGTGGGTTTGAACTGCCGACCATGAGGTTAGCAGCCCTACAGCACCACATCAGAACTCCAATTGTATGATAAAGGAGGTATTTCAAACCATTGGGAAATATCAACTAGAATTAGCTATTTTAAGAGTGATTTATCCATTTAGGAGAAAATATTTATTTAGTAGTGCATATGGTATAATGCTTTTCAGAATGCTTCTAACATTTCCCATTTATGTATTATGCGGTAAAGTGTACCACTTTATCTGCTTAAGTGACTTAACCTCTCTAAGCCACAGTTTCTTCATCTATGAATGAAATAATATTTCCTAATTTATAGAGCTGTTTTACAAATTAAATAAGATGCTTCACAAAAAGCACTTAGCTCAGTACATGAGCTATAGGAAACCCACAGTTCATTGAACTATTCTGTGTTTTGTGTACATATCTATCTTAACTTCCTCTCCAGAAAAATCACCTCTTGGAAGGAGTCAATTCAATATTTGTATTCCTGATAGTGCTTAAAATTGCATCTTAGAGCCTATTTAGTGACTATCTGTTGGATCATGAATTAATAAATACATGGGATTATGTTATCCCAATGGGAGAAGGCATAGTGTTGTTAATACTTCCCAGTAGATCCTAGTGTCTGGCCTCCTGCTCAGACTTTCTATCCCTATCTGCAGGCACTGGGATCAGGTAAGGGATGAAGTCCAATGGGAGTTTGACCAGGAATCAGAAAGCTTCACGTTGGAGCAGATTGTGGAGCTTGGCATGGATCAGCATGAGAAAATCAGGGAGATATCTGCCTCAGCAACCAAAGAGCTGGCAATAGAATTGGTATGAAGAATGCTCTTCTACACTTACCTACTTCTAAGCACCTACAACAAAGGCTCTCAACTTTTCCTCATCTGAATGCTCTCCCAGCCCCTGTTCACCTTAGGCCGAAATATTTCATTGCTCTGTCCATCCACCGATTTCTCCTCTTAGGCATTACAGAACATTGCCAAGACCTGGGATGTGATCCAGCTAGACATAGTACCCTATAAAGACAAAGGCCACCACCGACTCAGGTAGAGTAGAGCTTGGGGTTCCAGGAGAGGGAGCAGCGTGTGACCAAGATATGGCAGCTGGACTGTGATTTGTATTCCTTCCATCCTAGAGGTACAGAAGAAGTATTCCAGGCTCTGGAGGATAACCAGGTGTCTTTGTCCACCATGAAGGCATCTCGTTTTGTCAGGCCCTTTGAGAAGGAGGTGGATCACTGGGAACGCTGCCTCTCCCTCATTCTGGAGGTTATTGAGACAGTGCTTACAGTGCAGCTTCAGTGGATGTACTTGGAGGTCAGGTCGCAGCACTCCCTTATTTGCTTAGAATCTAGATTTCTGCCCTGCTATCCACCACTTTTTCCCATGTCTAAAATCACTCTTCTTCAAAACAAAGTGTATGATTTGTTGAATGTTTAAGACTGATAATCTACTCTGCAAACCTTCACTCGATTGAAAAAAAAAAAAAAAATCACTCTTCTTCTAGAACCCAGGTGTCTTTTAGTTACTAACTCACCTTAAATTCCCTCTCTAACAAGCCTTTGTTCTTCTCAGCTTTTCATTCTATTCTTCTTCTTGGATACCTGACCATTCAAGCCCAACTTTCCTTCTAAAGCCCCTTATGTTCTACTTAACTGTCATCCTCAGTTTGGGAGCGGGGAGCAGAGGTGGAGAGAGTGTTAAAGCCTCAATTCTTGTTCCCTTAGAATATCTTCCTGGGAGAGGACATCCGCAAGCAGCTGCCCAATGAATCAGCCTTATTTGATGAGGTCAGTGCCACCTGGAAATCCATCATGGACCGGATGAACAAGGACAACAATGCTCTCCGGAGTACCCACTATCCAGGTCTGGGCTCCATGGCTTCTTGCCCTGACAAAGCCTCATTTAATGCTGTGTATAGGTGGTGTCTGGTAGCATAGTGGTTACGAATTGGGCTGTGAACCGCAAGGTCAGCAGTTCGAAACTACTAGCTGCTCCGTGGGAGAAAGATGAGGCTTTCTGCTCCCGTAAAGATTTACAGCCTTGGAAACCTGGTTCAGGGTCGCTATGAGTCAGAACCGACTCGACGGCACTTAACAACAACAACATAGGTGATGTCCTGGCCACAAGTTTCATTTGTTGAAAGTTCAGCTGTTACACCTGGCTGTCATAACACTTCCCGTCACCATTACTACTTATAAACATTCAGTAACAATAATTCAGCAAATTAAATTCAGCAAATATTTGAATGGGGAGTATAAAACAGTGGTTTTAAACTGCGAACCTTGTAGTTCAAACCAACCTTGTAGTCCAGTGCTACTTCTACAGTGCTATACAGGACTCCTTAGCTACCATTTGTTGTTGTTGTTAAGTGCCTTCGAGTCGGTTCCGACCCATAGCGACCCTGTACAGGGTTTCCGAGGGTGTAAATCTTTACGGGAGTAGAAAGCCTCATCTTTCTCCCGCGGAGCGGCTGGTAGTTTCGAACCACTGACCTTAAGGTTCGCAGCCCAATTCATAACCACTACGCTACCAGAGCTATTGTTATTGTTACATTGACCTTAATTTATCAGGCAAAGTAGTTTTTATTATAGATACCTTGGAGACACAGAAAACCTAAGGATTGAGGGAAACAGGGATGGGGCAGAGAGAGGTACACAGAGCAAGGCTTGGTTGACTGGGGTGAAGAGTTAGATAGTCAGATTTGTAACAGGCACCTAGAATGATTATCCTGAGGAGAAAGTTTGGGCAGGAGGTATGAGGACTTGTTTGTTTTGCTTAGGGACAATCTAGCAATTCTTTGTTTTCCAAGAAACTTGAATATAAACATTAAAAAGATAGCACTATAATTTGAAAGGTTTTGATAAAATGCAAAATTGATGACAACTTGCATTTTACAAATAATATTTGAGATAATTGGAAAGAACTATATTTTGGAGCAATTTAGAAGCAAATCCATGAAAACAGTTACCCCTTTGTTAAATGCACAAAATAAATCCATCTCATCCACTGCTACTGAGCCTCCCCACGGTCTCCAGGGACACTCAGGTGCTCACTCTAATTTCTTCCGAATGCTAGAAACTGAAGACAAAGGAATAAACCTAAGGTATGTGGATGTGGGCAAGGAGGAAACTCAAATTATTGAGAACCTAAAACTGTGAATACATTGTAGTATCTTGAATTCTTTGAGGTGGTTCGTATTACTGTTTTATAGACAAAGAGATCAAAGCTCAGTGAGGTCACGTGATAGGTTATTAATGACAGAGCTACCATTTGAATGGTGAACTTTTACCTGCTGATCTGGAACTCTTTTTATTGTATCATGAGGGATGTTGGCATTCTCAGCTTTTGCAACCCTGTTCCATTGTGTACATGTGATAGGTGTTTAAGTCTAATGGTCTCACTTGGATTGTATATAGTAGAACAGTCTTGAATTTTCAGAAGCTTTTGGGATAACCAGCAGACCACCAAGTTCCTTGGCATAATGAAACTATTCTTCTATAGACTGAGGGGAAATGTGCTTAACGTAATGAAATCATGCATAATATGTAATTAATTATGAAATTTATAGTTAATGATGAATTAATGAAGTGGATGGGCTAAGCATGATGCAATTTAGAGGTACTTCTATGCTTCCACAAAGCAGTCTGTACCCCAAAATTCAAGAGCTGGCAAAGTAGATCTAGTTAGGGACACTAGATGTACTCAGGGCAAAGATAAAGGGTCATCAAATGTCACTCATTGCTCCTTTTCCCAGGCCTTCTGGAAAGACTGATGGAAATGAACATAATCCTAGAAGATATTCAGAAGTCTCTGGACATGTATTTAGAGACCAAGCGTCATACTTTCCCCCGCTTCTACTTCTTGTCCAATGACGACCTCCTGGAGATCTTGGGCCAGTCACGCAACCCAGAGGCTGTACAGCCACACCTCAAAAAATGCTTTGACAACATCAAATTGCTGAGGATCCAAAAGGTCAAACAGGAGGTGTCTGTGATGGGATGGAGGGCAGGGCAAGGATGATGCTATCCAGGTAGTCAAGGCTTTGGAGAAAACCATGCTCTCTCAAAGGGATAGGAATGTTAATTTGTGATTCTAGGTTGTCATGGGATAGGACTTTTAAGAATTGGTAATATTGAGGGGAAGGGAAAAGAGCAGAGCAGAGCAGAAATTACCTTGAAAAGGCCACTGTGCTTACTAAGATAGGCAGATAGCACGAGTAGGCAGGCTGGAACATTATGACCTCTCTTTTTCTACAGGTCAGGGGCCCCAGCAGCAAGTGGGAAGCTGTGGGAATGTTCTCTGGTGATGGCGAGTATATTAATTTCCTCCACTCAGTAATTTTGGAAGGACCTGTGGAGGTGAGTTCTGGCAAGGGTATGAGAACCAAGCTAATTCTCCTTCCTATTAGAAAGGTTGCTTGGCTCTGTGAGGAGAGAGCATCTACAAAGGGACCTATGCTTTGAATCTAAGTTTCTTTTTGAAAACCAGTCTATCTTCTAGACTCCATTTCTCTCGAACTCAAGCCACCTGCTGCCCAGTTTCCCCTTTCCTCTTGGGTCCAAAGCCCTGGAGTTCTGTTTCCTAAGTACCTTCCTTCTTGGGAATCTTATCTCCAGGGGGAGGCTGAGGTGTCCTGTTTTCTTCCCTCCCCCAGGTCTGGCTTGGTGAGGTAGAACGCAACATGAGAATGACCCTGCGGGACCTTCTTCGGAACTGCCGCCTGGCCCTGAAGAAGTTCCTTAACAAGAGGGACAAATGGGTGAAGGAGTGGGCTGGCCAGGTGAGCTGGGATCAATAGAAATGGAGGAAAAAGAACGATAGAGCTGAAAGAGGAGTAGCAGGTATAAAGACAGACCCTTGGCTCTCACAAAATAGAGGCTTCTTGCCCCCGCCCCCATTCTGGATTTTGATTCTAATTCCTTACATTCTGGACTTAAGCATGTGCCCATTCTTCAGAGCATAGTAGGCAAATTGAGGCCTGGAAAGAGCTGGGATTTGGGAGCTGGGTATAGGGGTGACCAAGGACAAAGCTATGGAATACAACCTCTCATCTGCCTCACACACCCCAGATGGTGATCACGGCTAGTCAGATTCAGTGGACAGCTGATGTCACCAAGTGCCTGCAGACAGCCAAGGAGCGGGGAGACAAGAAAATCCTCAAAGTCATGAAGAAGAAGCAGGTGTGGAGTCCTACAAGTCTGGAATTGGCTTGGACTTAGACTTGGAGAGAAGAAGGTGATAAGTGGACTTAAAATCAGAGATGAACTGGTGAAACAGGGTCAGAGTGAGGGCACTTCATATAACACAAGTCCAGTGAGATGCTGATATGGGTGCTTTATAATATGCTGTTAGGTGTGATGACAGGCTCTTTTGACACAGTGGAACACAGACACTTGGATAGAAAGGCAGACTCTTTGTTTATACTTCCAAAGAGACATAGAGGGCCACATAGGTGTTGTACTCAGGAATAGGATAACACCAAGCTGGAGTTGTAGGAGATCCGTTATGTATAGCCAACAAGGCAGGGTTAGCTAAATTTCAGGGACTTCCTGTCGATTGGATATTTTAAATATTTCTGCAGGTTCCAGGGCATAGGGGCTGTCCCTGTTTGGTACCTTGTTGTTTGGCTCCAGGGCAATTAGGGCAAGTACATAGTGACCCTAGAGTATGGGAGTCCCATAAAAGAAGTAGTTTGGAGTGTGGTCTTAATCAGCTGCTGAAGAAGGGAACTGACTGGTCTCCAGCCAGGGCCGCAAAACTGGGTCAAGACAGCATTTGTGAAAGATATTACAGTTGGGTGTCAGGAGTTAAATGGAATTGGGGTTTAGCACTGGGGTTGAAGGTAGCATGAGGTTGAAATGAAGTAGGATTAGGCTTTGATTTCATTTCTCCATCTGCCCTTCCCCCACCCCCCACCCCACCCCCATTCCCCAGGTGTCAATACTGAATAAGTATTCAGAAGCCATCAGAGGGAACTTAACCAAGATCATGCGGCTTAAAATTGTGGCTCTGGTGACCATAGAAATCCATGCCCGGGATGTGTTGGAAAAGCTTTATAAGAGTGGTCTCATGGATGTCAATTCATTTGACTGGCTCAGTCAACTTCGGTTCTACTGGGAGAAGGTGCAGATGGGCCTACTCTCCACTCGCCTACCCTCAAATCAATCCTAATGCTTTAATTAAACTCATGTTATCTTCATACAGTGTCTTAACCTAACTCTTAGTCCTATCAGTGCCCTAATCCAGTACTTAGCTCTATCTCAAATCTCCTAAACCAAGAATGGAAAGTAATATTTCCAGTCAGTATTCACTGACTGTTGATTAGGATTCAGAAAGACTCCTGGCAGCTGCTGCCAGTGAGTTGAAGTGGGCATGCAGTATGAAACCCATTCTTCATCTTGCCACGATCAATTCTTGCCTTCTGACTAAAAGTGAACTTCTAGTCTTACTACAATCTCCCTCCCATCTCCGAGCCCTACTTTCCGTCATCTCTCCAACTCTAACTCTTCCTCTATGGCCATCTCACTCTTATCTACCCTGTTTCCCAGGATCTTGATGACTGTGTGATCCGCCAGACCAACACACAATTTCAGTACAGTTATGAGTACTTGGGTAACTCTGGCCGGCTTGTCGTCACCCCACTGACAGACAGGTGTGCTCTGTGGGATTTGCCAAGTGGTTGGGGTAGGCCAGCAAATGCTGGGAGGATTCCAGGAGTGACTCCAGCCCTTTCCTCAATTCCCAGGTGCTACATGACACTGACCACAGCATTACACCTACACCGAGGGGGCTCCCCCAAAGGTCCAGCCGGCACAGGAAAGACCGAGACTGTCAAGGACTTGGGCAAGGCCCTTGGTATATATGTCATTGTGGTTAACTGTTCGGAGGGCCTGGACTACAAATCCATGGGCCGAATGTACTCAGGCCTGGCCCAGGTCAGTATCTTGCCACCCGACCCTGTTGTTGTGAAGTGATGTCGAGTCGGTACCGACCCATAGCGACCATGTATAGAGTTTCCGAGGAGAGGCTGGTGAGCTTGAACTGCCTACCTTGCGGTTCAAACTGCTTTGCGGTCTGGTGCATTAACCCACAGTGCTATACCAGAACACCCTAGAAACCCCTTAAGAACCTTTTCATCTCAGAAAAATCAACTGAAATTTAAATGTGGTTCAGTGCTTTGTAAATTAACAGTATTGTATTGCCTTAGTTAAGTCTTAAAATTGGGGAAGTCCCTTTGTCTCCCTGAGCTTCATTTCACTGTAAAACCGATTGATTATGTCAGGATTAAATACTGTATGTAAACTGTCTGGCACATCATAAACACTCAATATGCACAATCTTTTCCCCTGCCTGATGTAAAGTTCTGACCAGAAACTACAATTGCGCTACTCGGGTACATCCCCCCACACCTATTTTGGAAGCCACCTTGCCTATTAAGTAAACATTTTAAGGAAGGTGTCTTAGCGCTCATGTGATAGTGTCACAGAAATACCACAAGGAGACGATTTTAAAGAGCAGAATTTTATTTTCTCACAGTTTTAGAGACAAAGTCTAAATCTGGGTCTTGGCAGTGTGAATTTCTTTCTTGTTGGTAATCTGAGCATTCCTTGGTTCTTGGCTTCCTTGGCAATCCTCACATGGCGTCTGTCTTCCCCCTGTGTCTACTTCTGGGTTTAATCTGCTTTTTTGATAACTCAGAAGCGATAAGATTTAAGACACATCCGACATTGGTAAGGCCTCATGTACATAACAATGAAAACCCTATCCCAAACAGGATTATATACACAGATACAGAGGTTAAGATTCCATTACCTATTTTGAGGGCATGTAATTCAGTGTGAAGCTTCTAGTTTCTCCCTATCCTGGGGTACCACTCTTGCTGCCATTGACTCTGCCTCCTACTCCACAGACTGGAGCTTGGGGCTGTTTTGATGAGTTTAACCGCATCAACATCGAAGTCCTGTCAGTGGTGGCTCAGCAGATCGTTTCTATCCTCTCAGCCTTGACTGCCGGCCTCACTCGTTTCCATTTTGAGGGTTTTGAAATAAATCTCGTGTGGTCCTGTGGGATCTTCATTACCATGAATCCTGGTAAGGAGCAGTGAGTAGATGGGACGTCAGTGGGGAGAACTGAGTGACCAGGCGAATACCTGAGCATGTTCCTCCACACCACTCCTGACCTATGCCAATATTTAGCTCCGTGAAATCTGACTGAAGGCAGTGAGGGTGAGAGGAGGATTGGATGCACAACGTTCTGGGAGAAGGGAAAGAAATCTTATGGTTCTGACTTGATAAAGGGATTAGTAACTGCTTATGTGTGTATACCAAGGATCCCTATTGATGCCATGGTTATAGCTCTTAACTGCTAAACAAAAGGTTAGCAGTTTGAACCCAGCAGTCGCTTCTGTGGGTGAAAGAGATGACAGTCTGCTTCCATAAAGATTTACAGCCTTAAACGCCATGGGGCAGTTCTACTCTGTCATATACGGTTGCTATGTGTCCGAACTGGACTCAGCGACAGTGCATTTGGTTTTGGTTATATGTGTATATGTAGTATCAGGTCTCTAGTGCCCCAGATGGTTAAGTGCTCAGCTATTAGCTGAAAGGTTGGTGGTTTGAACACATCCAGAGATGGTATAACAGCTAATGTTCTTGTCCTGACATCTACTTCCAGAAGGTTATAGCTTTGAAAACGCTTTGGAGCAGTTCTACTCTGCTCATATGGGGTCACCATGACTCAATGGCAACAAACAACAACAACAGCTATCTTCTTCATTGGGTCATCTTTCAGAGTTCTGGGCTGTCTGCCATCTCTTTTGCAGAATTACAGAAATGCCCTAAAGTACAGGGTCTCGGTGTCTCGTTGCTGTTCCCCAGGAACAGCTCTGGAGAATGATCTAGAAGAGAATAGTCATAGGAAAGGGTTTAGGTGCTGAAAGAATCAGAAAAAACAAAAACAAAAAAAAAAACTCACCAACCATTCCTCAGTAACAGGGTTGCGATGAGTTGTAACTGAATCAATGGCATTTAACATAGAATTTGGAAAGATGAGAAATCAATTGTCTGTGAGTTTGAAAGAGGAAGAAAATAAAAGGACCAGAGATCAGAAAGCAGATCAAAGTGGAATGGGAAGAGCCAGGACTCCGATGAGAAAGGAAGCCATCTTGGAGTTGAAATTTGGGAGAAATTCAAGATTTGGATTTAGGGATGGAACTAGGTTTGGGGAAAATGGGACTGATTGGGAAGGGGCTTTTTGGGAAGCAAATCAAGATGACTATATGGATTCTAAGCAAATGGTACTGGTTTTCAGGCTATGCTGGTCGCACAGAGCTTCCTGATAATCTTAAATCCATGTTTCGTCCAATTGCCATGGTGGTGCCTGATTCTACCCTTATTGCAGAAATCATTCTCTTTGGAGAGGGCTTTGGCAACTGCAAGGTATTCCTGTAATCCTTTCCTTTATTTCCCCCCTTCCATTATTATTCTCTGGGCAGAAGAACCTTCTGAAGGCCTCACAATGACCTCACTAGGAACTTTCTAGCTTGAATTTCTGCCAATAATATTGTTCTCCAAAAGTCCTGTCACAGCTGTTCCTCCTCACATTTTCAGGCGCTGAGAAGGGAAATTGCATTATTGGCAGGACTCTGAAGAGTAACACACATTCAAAGCTGCACACTTCCTGTTGAGGTCAAAATACCATGGGCCACCCACTGATTTGATTGCTATCAGTGTGTACAAGACCCTTGTTTACTATGGTAGTTGCTGAACCTTTTTGAAACCCTGACATAAAGGAGTCACTGGGTAGTGCAATAGTTAATGCTATGCCTCAAAAGCAAGTCCTGGTAACCTGCTTCCAAAATATCAACCATTGAAAACCCTGTGGAGCACAGTTCTACTCTGGCATATATGAGGTCACTATGGAATGGATTCAAAGCAAATGGGTTGGTTTTAGCAACTTAAAGTCTCTGAACCTAGCTTCTGGTACTTATAATGGTTCCAGGATGTAGCAGAGGGATTGGGAGAACACAGGTTGTTTCTTCCTCTGTTTTTATCACCTAGATTCTGGCTAAGAAGGTGTATACTCTTTACTCACTGGCTGTGCAGCAACTCTCCAGACAGGCCCATTATGACTTTGGCCTACGTGCCCTCACCTCCCTCCTGCGCTATGCTGGCAAGAAGCGCCGCCTACAGCCAGATCTAACTGATGAAGAGGTGGGTCAAGGACATAGCCTTTGGACTATAACCTTCATTGTCACTGGTTCCTATTTTTCCCTGGATTTGGGTTCCCAGCCTTCGCCCTTGCCTCCTGTGTTGCTTTAGCTCTACCTATTATGTTACTAAAGACTAAATCTGGTGTTTCCATCATTCTTAGTCCCTTCCCATAGCCCTTTTGCATAAAAAGGGTTTACATCCTGGTTCTTCAAGCCTAAGTCTGTGTCTTCTCCCATCTAGGTTTTGCTGCTCTCAATGAGAGATATGAATATTGCCAAGCTGAATTCAGTTGATGTGCCACTATTCAATGCCATTGTACAAGATCTATTCCCCAGCATTGAGCTGCCTGTCATTGACTATGGAAAGGTATTTGTTCCTTAATATTGTCTCCAATCTCATATGTGAGGGTGGATTTGGGAACAAGAAACTTGACTTCTAGGCTTTGTTGTACCATTCACTAGCTGTGATTTTTGAGCAGACAGTTAACCTTTCTAACTTCCTTATCCATAAAATGCTATGTTGTTGCTGTTAGTTGCCGATGACTAAATTCCAACTCATAGTGAACGCATGAGTAAAGAGTAGAAGTGTTTTGTGGGGTTTCCAAGACTGTGATCGTTTGGGAAGCAGATTGCCAAGTTTGGCACCCAGGGTGCTGTTGGGTGTGTTTGAACTACCAACATTTTGGCTAGTAGTCTAGCGTTTAACTGTTTGTACCACCAAGTGGCTATAAAATTATATAGCTCTATTCAAACAGTCTACTCTCCAATCACAACTCTCCCCTCACCCCCACCTCAGCTGCTTAAGTACCTCTTCCACTCATCAGATCTTTGACATCATTAAGACCTCTAGTCCATTGGCCTTTCCACTTTGCCTATACCCGTTAGACCTTTCCTGCCTCTACTTTCCCCCTCATATAGGGAATTATTATTTTTGTTTTTAACTTTTTATTGTGAATTGAGTGAAGGTTTACAGAGCAGATCATCAGTTTTACATTTAGCAAATTACATAATTTGCTTTATTACATGATTGTAATCCCCTTCGTGTATCAACAGTTAACGGCATTTACCTCTATTCATTTTAACTATTGCATTCCTTCTTTAACTGTTGTCTCCCACTGTTTTCATCTTTCCTCTGCTAACCACTCTCTTGCTGTATATTGCCTTCCGTGTCATCCATGTGTCTACCCTCTACCCTCAACCTATAACCATCATAGATTGTTTCTTTTTATCAAGAAAACATTTTTTAACTTTTTACAATCTTGGTCTCATACAATGTTTGTCCTTTTGTGATTGACTAATTTCACTCAGCATACTGTCTTCCAGGTTCAACCAAGTTGTGACGTGTTTCACAGATTCATCATTATTCTTCAATGTTTTGTAGTATTACATTTTGTGTATGTATCAAAGTTTGCTTAACCATTCTTCTGCTGATGGACATTTAGGCTGTCTCCATCTTTCTGATATGTCTCTTGTAAACAATATATTGAAGGATCCTGTTTTCTTATCCATTCTGCTTTTTATGTCTCTTAACTGGAACATTTAATCCATTTACATTCAGTGTAATTATAAATAGGTATGAATTGATTGTTATTTTTGTGTGGGCTTATTTTGTTTTTTGTGGTGTTGCTGGATTATGTTGGCTAGGATTTTGTTGAGAATTTTTGCATCTATGTTCATGAGGGAGATTGGTCTATAATTTTCTTTCTTAGTGACATCCTTCCCTGGTTTTGGTATGAGGGTTTTAAGATCATCAATTTTGCATTCAACAAATCATATGCTTTGTTTCATCTCAATGATTGCAGCCCTCTTCATGCAATAACAGTTGTCCCACTTTTTCCCTGTGTGGTTGTTATTGTCATTGTTAAGTGCTGTCAAGTCAGTGTCGACTCACAGCGATGCTGTACGGGTTTTCCAAGGAGTAACTGGTGAGTTTGAACCACCAACCTTGTGATTCAAACTGACCTTGTGGTCCAGTTCTTTATCTCACTTACTCATGTACAAATATCAAATTATTGAAATGACATGGAAAAGGAGCTCTGACCACAATAAAACTAAACTAGAAATTGATAACAAAATATAATTAGAAAAAAACCCAACCCATATATTGGAAAATTAAGTTTTTAATTAGGTGCCATCAAGCCAGTACCGATTCCTAGTGACCGTATACACATCAGAATGAAACACTACCAGAATGAGACACTACCAACCTCACAATCTCTGCTACATTTGAGCCCATTGCTGCTGCCACTGTGCCAGTCCATCTAGCTGGGGTTAGTCCTTTTTTCTCTGACCCTACACTTTACCAAACATGATAACCTTCTCCAGGGGCTGGTCCCTTCTGACAATGTGTCCAAAATATGAGAGATGAACTCTGGCCATCCTGGCTTCAAAGGTGCATTCTGGATGTACTTCTTCCAACACAAATTAGTTTGTTCTTTTGGCAGTCCATGGTACTTTTAATATTCTCCTTCAACACCACAAGTCAAATGCATCAATTCTTCTATTCACTGTCCAACTTTCATGTGCATATGAGATTATTGAAAATATCATGATTGGATCAGGTATACCTTAGTCCTCAAAGGTACAAAGAAAGTATCATTACTCCCATTTAGCAGATGCAGAAACTGAGGCTCAGAAAAGTCACTTTCTCAGGGTCACACAGATGGAAGCTGGGGGCCCAGGCTAGTTGACTCCAGATCCAAATCTCTTTACTCAGCAATTGACCAACTTCCAGTGAAAGAACAATCACCAGTGTTCATGGAGCCCTGGTGCCAATTTTTTCTTTCTTTTTTTTAGCAATTTGAACATCATCCTTCTAGACATTGGAGAGATTTTGAAGCCCTTTTTAGGCCTCTCCCTTTATCTTTCACCTCCTTCATCTCCTCTTCTTTCAGCTGCGGGAGACCATTGAGCAGGAGGTTCGAGATCTAGGACTTCAGGCTACACGATTCACGCTCACCAAGGTTATCCAGTTGTATGAAACCAAGAACTCCCGTCACTCCACGATGATTGTGGGCTGCACAGGCAGTGGCAAGACTGCCTGCTGGCGAATTCTGCAGTTGTCCTTATCTAACCTGAGCCGCGCTGGAGATCCCAACTTCAACATTGTTAGAGTACGGAGACTGAACAATAAAGACAAGAGCAGAGACTTAAATAGCAGGAGGTTGGGGGCAAGAATGCTACAGAGGTGTGAAAGAAAGGAGCGCAGGCTAAGAAGGGTGTGGTGTGCCTGGGTCTCCAGAAGGCCTAAGAGAGAGAAGAGAGAGAGGAGGGACGGAAAACTAGAGGTATCAGGAGATCTTGGGGGGTTTGCATGCCAGCAGCTCAAACACCCCTTCCTGTGCCTTTTGTTTTTCATCTTGAATTGGGTGAAAGTTTACAGAGCAAATCATTTTTCCATTTCAGTTCTTACACATTTTGCTTCATGATTGCGATTCCCATTGTAGAGCATCACTCAGCTCATTCCCTCTCTATTTTCCCTTCTTTCCTGTGCCATTTTTAGGAATTCCCATTGAACCCAAAGGCCTTATCCCTGGGGGAGCTCTATGGGGAATATGACCTCAACACTAATGAATGGACAGATGGTATCTTGTCTAGTGTCATGCGGACAACATGTGCAGGTACCCAAGGACCACGGGGTGTGGAGGGCAAATGCTCGAATCTTGAGGGGGTGGGAGGTTTGGGGATCAGAAGCTCAAGTTTGGGCAAGGAAATCTTAGGGAATGCTGAGGCATGAGGAGGCATATGCTTGTATTTTGAGGATCCCTGGTATAGAGGGAGGGCTAAGTAAGGAGGCTCGTGTGTTTTGTATCACCTTCCCTTCAACATAGACGAGAAACCTGATGAAAAGTGGATCCTTTTTGATGGCCCTGTGGACACACTGTGGATTGAGAGCATGAACTCTGTCATGGATGATAACAAAGTGTTGACTCTCATCAATGGAGAGCGCATTGCAATGCCTGAGCAGGTATGGGGTGCAGTTGACTACACAGAACCCTACAGAGGTAACCACTGGAGGGCCAAGGGGAGGAGTGCCAGAACTCTGAGAGAAGAGTAAGTGCTACAGGGGAGAGCTAAGGAAGAGGCTGCCTGGATTCAGGGAAACCCACAACTGAAGGAAAAAGGCTTTGTCTGTGATAGATGTTGAAAACAATCATACAGAAAAGTGCCTTGTGTACTGGAAGTGTTGTGTAGACTGGGGCAGCCTTCCCAGTGCTTTCCTGCTGACACCTAAGAGATGATCTTCATGTATGTACCAGTGTTACGAATTCATTGCCTGTGAAGCCGACTCCTTTCCCCTCCAAAAACAATGCAAGTACGAAAGCGATATTTTCAAAAGGAGAACCTTGAATGTGTTCTACTTTATTTAAAAAAAAAGCAAACCACAGGTATTTATGAATCATGCCATACTTTGAACTCAGTGGAGACTCCTTTGGGTATCAGAATTCTATGGTGTTTTTATTAGTTGTGCTATGTTGGGGGTAGAGGAAAACAGAATGTTCTGCCAACATGTGTCCTTAGGTGTCTCTCCTGTTTGAAGTGGAGAACTTGTCAGTGGCCTCTCCAGCCACTGTATCACGCTGTGGGATGGTCTATACTGACTATGTTGACCTGGGTTGGAAGCCGTATGTTCAGTCATGGCTGGAGAAGAGGCCAAAGGTAGAATGGGGATTGAGGAGAGGGGAAGTAACCAGGGTGGTCTACACAGCACAAAAGCAAATAAAGAGCTCCATCTTATTTAATACTAGGCTGAGGTAGAGCTCCTTCAACGCATGTTTGAGAAGTTCATCAACAAGATTCTGGCGTTTAAGAAGGACAACTGTAATGAGTTAGTGCCGCTTCCTGAATACAGTGGCATCATCTCCCTCTGCAAGCTGTACTCGGCACTGGCCACACCAGAGAATGGGGTAAGCAGAGGAACACAAATTAGAGCCAGGGCAGAAAGGGATCATGGGACCTGTCAAGGAAAGGGTGTATCTGAGACACAGATTGAATATGAAGCTTGTATAGAGCAGAGACTCCAAATATACAATGGGCATGAAAGCAGTAAGCTAGGTATGTGTGTGTCTAGGAGGCCATAGTAAGGATTCTAAATTGAATATAGTACACAATGGAGATACCCTGTAACCTCCAATCCATATTTTGGGAGCCGTGGATAGTTCATTTCTCCATTCTTTCAAAAAGTAAATATTAAGTCTTCATATATATAAAGCCTTGGATACAGTTTCAGCTGCAGGGAGCGCTCAGATAAATCTGATGAGGAGTTCTAGAAATTTTAGATTCATTTCTATTTCAGGCCCAGATTTGAGAATTGTAGACTGAGGATCAAGAATCCATATTACTGTTGAGATTAAATCACACATAGAAGATTAAATCACACATAGAAGTGGTTTATATTGTTTTTAAATACATTGCCAGATAAATTAAACAATAATACATATTAACAACTATGACAAGCTATAACAGTTCCTGGTACAAACAAAACCCACTGCCATCAAGTTGACTCCAGCTCATAGTGATCCTAGAGGTACAATAGAAGTGCTCCATAGGGTTTCTGAACCTCTAAATCTTTACGGAAACAGATTGCCTCGTCTTTCTCCCATTTAAGGCTGGGGAGCTTGAACCACCAACTTTTTACTTAGCAGTTCAATGCTTAATATAAATTGAAAACATGTATGTGGACTCGTAAGGTAGCTTGTTGGAAAAGGACACTAGTGTGTTATTGGTACAAAGGTACTCAAGAGGGCTGACTGAGTATAGGAAGGCTTCCTGGATGAACAGCATCTAGAGCAGGAATTTCAAGAAACGGGAGGGACCACAATGGACAGAGTAAAGAGAGGAGGAGGAGGGCCTTCCTGGAAAAGAGAATGGCCTTTGCACATATACTGAGGCATATCTCTCAGTTGTGTTCCTGTGCAGCAGAGGCTCCAAGGAGAGGACTTGACCATGAGGAGGATAAATTGTGTTGTGTGTTGGGGTGAGCTGGACATGCAGCTGAAGTATTCTGCATCTAATATGGTAGACAATAGAGTCTCAACATCATTTCCTACCTATATTTTGAGGATTAAGGCTTACTCTAAGAGTAAGTCCAGTATTTTGGATTGGCAGCATCCTGGATATCAAATTTACCTGCTCTTCTAGGTATTCAGAGCCCACCCTCAGGAGCTCTCCACCCTGGGGTCCATAATTGTTACACACAGTCAGTTAGAGATGGTCCATTTGGTGCTAAGTTAGTTGTCTATTGGCCATTTTCCTTGAGGAGGTCTGGTGGAAACTAGATGGTTCTATGGGATCCATTCATCCATCCAAAAAAGCAGCATCTCTACTGTGTCCCATAGTGTATTTAGAGTCCCATGAGCTCTAAATACACTGTTTCTGCAGTTAAATTGGTATATTGTTCATTAAACAAGTAGTAGTTGAGCCTACTTTCCTTTCTAAAAATTAGAATATTTCATATAAAGCTAAAGTTCTTTTTGATTACTCCTTCCTTCATTCCTAGTCTGCTCTTGGGTCCACACAAGTAACTATTAAAATTATGTTTGTGTTGTCTTCCCAGACCTTTCTTAGTACATGTTTCTATATAAGTTCATAGATAGCCACAGAAAATGTGGTATTTAAAAATTGTGTCATACTGCACTTAAAAAATACTTTTAAAATCAGCGTATTTTTGAGTCTGCTTGCTCATAGTTGTTGGCTGCTGTCAGGTCAGTCCACAACCCCATGTACCGTGGAACAGAATTTTGTCTGATCCCGCACCATTCAGTGATCAACTGCAGATCTGACCATTGTGCTCCATAGGGTTTTTATTGGCTGATTTGTGAAAGTAGGTTCCCAGGCCTATCTTCCTAGTCCATTTTAGTTTAGACGTTCCATTGAAACCTGTTCAGCACCATAGCAACATTTAAGTCTCCATTGATAGATGGGTGGGGCTGTGAAAGAGATGCATTGGTCAGGATTCGAGCCCTGGTCTCCCACACAGAAGGCCAGCATTTTACTACTGACCCACGACTGCTTTCTCTGTCTTGCTACTAGATTACTTTCATGCTTGTAATTGCTGTATTCTATTGCATGGTAGAACACTTAGATTTTCTTTTTCATTCCTCTACCGATGAATGTCATTTCCAATTTTTTTGTAATTACAAGCAAACATGTTTGGACCTGTCTTCTTGATGACACATGAGTGTTTCCCCATGGTGAAAATAGTGTGGCTGGACTTTATCATTTCACAGAGAAGAAAATCAGGGGCAAGTGCTGAGCTGCAAGGAGTTTCACATTTATCTAAATCTTTTAGGTACTGACTTGATGGCACCTAACAACACCACCAACATAACCACATAGTTTTCCAAATAGAACCAGGGAGGGAGGGAAACACTAAGCCTTTGTGATGGTCTGCCAAAGTATTTTCTCTTCTTCCCTCCCAGTTGATTCCAGCTGATGGTGAAAACTTTGCCTCTATGGTGGAAATGACATTTGTGTTCAGCATGATCTGGTCTGTTTGTGCTTCTGTGGATGAGGAGGGCCGCAAGAAGATCGACAGTTACCTCCGAGAGATTGAGGGATCCTTTCCCAATAAGGTCAAGGCAGTCAGAGACCCAGCTGTCCTATTTTTCCAGAACTCATAGATATCCCTCATTCTCAGGCTCTGTTCAAGTTCTAGCCTGCCCACCCAGCTCCCTTTCTTCTAGCCATGGCCTGGGAGTCTTTTATCTGGGCTGAGGACTATTAAAGGAAGGCTTTAGTAACCTGACATACATACCTCTCCTCAGGACACCGTGTATGAGTACTTTGTGGACCCCAAGGTGCGGAGTTGGACATCATTTGAGGAAAAACTTCCTAAGAGTTGGCGCTACCCTCCAAAGTAAGAAAAGGGCCTAAACTGTGTGGATAGGGCTTGGGCCTATGGTGAAGGGGAGACATGGCCAGAGAGAAGGGACCAAGGAGCGATAGTGAGCTGTAGAAAGGAGAAGCTGGATCCCAGTGATGAGGTGATTGTTGAATACAGGAAGCAGTATCTAGAGTCCATAAGGCACAAGCCTGGTGATCCTCAAGCGCTATGAGAGACAGGGTTGATGGTTAGAGGGCTGTGGCACCAGAGATAAAAGGAAGAAAAATTTCAAGAGTAGAATGAAGTGAACCAGTAATCCCTGAATGGAGCCCTGGTATGGCGCTGAAGGATAAGCACTGGACTGCTAATTGCAAAGTTGGCAGTTCAAACCCACCAGCCACTCCTCGGAACCCCTACACATGGTTGCTATGAGTCAGAGCTGACTCAACAGCATTTAACAACAATCCTTAAGACTCCATTCTTTTTCTTCCCTAGTACCCCCTTCTATAAAATCATGGTGCCCACTGTCGACACTGTTCGCTACAACTACCTGGTGAGCGCCTTGGTGTACCACCAGAATCCCATCCTTCTGGTGGGTCCTGTGGGGACTGGGAAGACGTCCATCGCCCAGAGTGTCCTGCAGTCTTTGCCCTCCAGCCAGTGGTCAGTGCTCTCTGTCAACATGTCTGCTCAGGTGTGTTGCAGGACCCAAGGAGACAGGCCACCACCAGCTCCTTGCTCTCTTCCTACCTTCTCCGCACCTCTGGGGTCCAGGTTCCAGATTTATACTTCTTTCTAACCCCAGATTGTGCTTAGGGGACACAAGCATTCATTTTGTGCCTTTTTCACCAGACTACATCCAATAATGTGCAGAGCATCATTGAAAGCAGGGTAGAGAAGCGAACCAAGGGTGTCTATGTGCCATTTGGAGGCAAAAGTATGATCACCTTCATGGATGACTTGAATATGCCAGCTAAGGACATGTTTGGCTCCCAGCCACCCCTGGAGCTGATTCGCTTCTGGATTGATTATGGCTTCTGGTATGATCGTTCGAAACAAATCATGAAGTACATTCGAGTAAGTATTCCAACAAATCTACTCTTCAGGCCACTGTTCTGTCTCATGACAGGCTCAGCCCCTATTTCACTGAGACCCTAGGATACAATCCTATAATCCCAGTTTCTTCACTATATAGGGTGCCCAGTCTCTTCCTTTGGACCCAAACATCTAGCTCCTAAATTATCAGCTTCTTTTATTTATTAACTCTCTTCAATGACCCTGTCCCAAATTTAGTGCCCAAAGGATCCTGTTCCCCAATTTTCCCTCATTTTCCAGCCTCTTATATCACACTTACAAAACAACCTGATTCTTGTCCCAGAACTTCTAGGAGCCCAGGTCCTTTGATACCCCATCTCAGTGCCTCTCCTGTTACTGGAGTGACCACCTCCATGATATTGGTTCTTTGCACCCACCCAACAATTGGTTCCAAGCTCCCATCCAGCCTGGCTCTTCTCCCATAGGATTTTGAACCATCTTGATTTTGTTATTATCTCTATCCTTAACTAAGTGGCAGTTGCCATACTATCCTGGTTTTTGTGGTGCCCCTATATCTGGCCCTTGGGGTGAAAACCAACTCAACAAAATATTAATGTGTTTCTAAGAAAGAATGCACATAGACACACATGCACATCAAAAATAGAACAAGAAAAAGAGGAAGTCTAGAAGACATCGTCTAAATGTTTTTAACTCATCTGTATTTCCTTATCTGGGTTGCAGGGATTATAATGATAAAATAAAGGTAGATGCATTACAGGTAGTCCCTGAATTATGACAGGGTTCCATTCTGATGACTCCCTCATAAGTCGGTTATCAGGACTGACTGTGAGGGCTGGAAATGTAAAGGTTGTAATCTCATTTTTGAAAAAAAGTTTTCATTTTTATTGCCATAGCCTGCTATATTGCAGTGTTTTGAACAATAAAGCATAACATTAAACATCTTAGAATGATAACATTAGCAGATTACATGCTGTAGCATTGTCTGTAGTACAGATTGCTAATAATACAATGTACAAAATAATCCCAAACCATATGGTCATAATGCCAATATATCCTAAATTAGAGACTACCTGTGCTTTAATAATTAAAATACAACAACAGCATCACTTCCTAATTCCTTCCCTCTTTTCCCCTTTCCCTGTCCCTCTTTATTTTTCTGGCTTAACCCTCTTCCCTTGTCCCTCCATTTACTGTCTTCCTCCTGGCTCCTTTTACATCCTGCCCTTCTTGGACCTTGTCTCATTTCTTTTCCCATCTCTCTCTCTGCCTCATCCTGTCTCTGCTCTCTAGGACATGTTCTTGATGGCTGCCATGGGTCCTCCAGGGGGCGGACGGACTGTCATCTCTCCAAGACTACAGAGTCGCTTCAACATCATCAACATGACCTTTCCCACAGTAAGGGAGGAATGGGGCCTGGGTGGGCCTGGGGAGGGGAAACAAGGTGGGCCTGGAGAAGATGCAGGTTGAAGGTAGAACCATCTCTGTTACAGAGATTGATGGAGCAGATCAGGGGTGGTAGTGAGAAGCCTTCCGAAAGAGTTGCTCTAGGGAGTTACAATATATGGAGAGGAGAATGATGTCTGTAGGAGACTTTACTGTCTCCTGAGCTGGGACTGCTGCAGGATACAAGTGTAAATTGCTTCTTCTGAATGTGAAGAGGATGCTGTGGGGCCTACATAGACTAAGGAAGTTGAGCTTCAAAGCTGGAGCACCAGGTGCAGAATTTAAGGGGACACACAAAAAAACTCAGTAATCAAAATGAAAATATTATAAAACAAATTTTTAGAAAGTCAAAATGAATACAAAAAAATTAATGAGCAAAATACTAAAATGTTAAGTACATACAAGATGAGTGCAATGCCGTTCTGAGCTGTCTAGAAACTTATGGCAAAAGGAAAACCCAAAAATAATACGGATCCTGTCTTCATTTTAAATATTACATGTTTATGGCTTTTTTTCTCTAAATTTTATTTATTGTTGAGAATACACACAGCAAAACATATACCAATTCAACAGTTTCTACATGAAAAATTTAGTGATGTTGATTACATTTGAGTTGTAAAACTCTTCTCATCCTTCTTTTCTGAGTTGCTCCTCTCTCATTGGAGTCCTGGTGTGGTGCTGTTGGTTAATGCACTGGACTGCAAAGTTCGCTTGAACCGTGAGGCCTGGTGATTCAAGTTCACCAGCTGCTCCTCAGAAACCCTATACAAGGTTGCTATGGGTCGGAATCTGACTCTATGGCACTTAACAACAACAATCTCCCTCATTAACACAAGCTCACTTCCCTGTAAGTTGTTCCTTCCTCATTAGCATAAACTCACGTCCTATCTAATATTTCAAGTTGCTGAGGATAAGAGTTTCAGGAGTTCATCTACCATCACTGGCTCCAGAAAGTCTAGAGTACATGAGAATTTGACATTCTCTTTGTGTTTCCTCCCTTTTGGTCATGACTTTCTATGAAATCTTTGATCAAAATGTTTGGTAATGGTAGCCAGGCACCATTCACTTCTGGTCTCATGACAAAGAAGACAGTTGCTTGTGGTGACTATTAGTCAACAATCTCTATATCCTCCTCCTATTCCTGACTTTCCCGCCTCTGTTGTTCTGGGTGAATTGTTGTTAAGTGCCATTGAGAATTCTATGAATTCTGACTCATAGAAACCCTGTAAACAGGTTCTGAGGAGCAACTGGCAGGTTTGAACTGCTGACCTTGTGATTTGCAGTCCAGTGCTTACCCTACAGGGCCACACCAGGAGTCCAGGTGATTTGAGACCAACTATTATGCCTCGGGTGGCTCTTTGCAAGTTTTTAAGTCCCCAGGTACTACACAATAAGCTAGGAGGCAGGACAGAAACACTAAACAAGTTATTAGGCCAATTAACTGGGATGTCCCATGAAACCATGACCCTAAACCTCCAAACCAAAGAACCAAGTCCTATGAGATATTTGGTAGTACATAAGCAGCACTCATTTAATTTTGCCCTGGTGTGGTGCTATAAGATAAGCATGGACTGCTAGTCACAAGATCAACAGTTCAAACCCACCAGCAGCAACTTGGAAACCTTATACAGGGTCTCCATGCAACAACTGATGGCACACAAACAGCAACAATTATAAATAAATATATCACACAACTTTTACCAATTCAACTTTTTACAGGTGTACAACTTATTGACAACATTTCCAACAATCAGCTCTGCAGCCCTACACTTAACATGGTATTTCCATCACCATTAACTCCTCCCTCCCATCGCTGGTAAATCACTAACTCTGTACATTTACCTTTCTTGTAGTTTTATATAAGGAAGGTCATACAATATTTATCCTTTTGTAATTGACTTAACTTTGCTCAGCATAAATACTATAGTATGTATGAAGACTTCATTTCTCCTACTGCCTGAGTAGTATTCCATTGTATGTATGTACCACATTTTGTTTATTCATTCTTCCGTTGATGGAAACAATCTAGGTTGTTTCCACCTGTTAGCTATTGTGAACATTGGTGTACAAGTCTCTTTTGGAACCTTTGCTTTCAAGTCTTTTGGCTCCATACCTAGGAGTGGAATTTCTGGGTCATATGGTAGTTATGGGGCACGCAATGTCGCCATACAATAAGCCATGGACTGCGAACCACAAGGTCCATTGTTTGAGCCACTAGCTGATCCTTGGGGGAAAGATAAGGCTTTCTTCTCCGGCAAAGATTTAAAGCCACAGAAACTCTATATAGGATTGCTGTGAGTTGAATCCACTCAACAGCACCTAAGAACAATAATAGTAGTTCTGGTTTTCAGTTTTTGACAACCTGCCACATAGTTTTCCAAAGTAACTGTTGCATTTTCATTGCCGCCAACAATGGATCAGGGTTGCAATTTCCCCACATCTTATACAACATTTGTTATTTTCTGGGTTTTGTTTCTGTTTTCTATCTTAACCATCCTAGTAGGAGTGTAATGGTATCTCATTATGGTTTTGATTTGTATCTCTATGAAGGCTAATGGGGCTGAGCAAATTTTCATGTGTTTGATGGCCATTTCAATAGTGTTCTCTTTGGTAAAATGTCTATTCAAATCCTTTGTCCATTTTATGATTAGGCTCTTGTATTTTTATTGTTAAGTTGTTTTATATATAATTTGGTTATTAGATTTTTGTTGAATATATGGTTTCCAAAAACATTATCTCATTCAGTAGCTTATCTATTCACTTTTTTGGTAAGGTTCTTTGATGAACAAAAGTTTAAAATTTTTATGAGATCCCATTTATTTGTTTTGTCTTTTACTGTTAGTGTTTTTGTCATCATATTAGATGATCCATTGTTGAAAGCTAGACCTGACAGCATTGCCCTGCTTATTCTAAAAATGTAATGGTTTTAGTTTGTATATTTATGTACTCCTTAATCCATTTTGCATTTTGTTTTGTGTATGGTGTGAGGCAAGGATCCTATTCATGTTTCTGCATGTAGAAACCCAATATTCCCAGCACCATTTATTGAAGACTCTTTTTTTCCCCATCAAATGGACTTAGGACCCTTGTTAAAAACATAAATAAAAAATCAGTTGACCATAGATGTATTGGTTTATTGCTATGCTCTCAGATCTACTCCATTGGTCTACGTGTCTGTCTATTATTATACTAGAATTAGGCTGTTTTGATTGCTATAACTGTATTGTTGTTGTTAGGTGCCATCAACTTGGTACTGACTCATAGCGACCCTATGTACAACAGAATGAAACACTGCCTAGTCCTGGGCCAACCTCACAATTGTTGGCACACTTGAGTCCATCAATGATGCAATCCATCTCATTGAGGGTCTTCCTCTTTTTCTCTGACCCTCCACCTTACCAAACATGATATCCTTCTCCAGTGACTGGTTCCTCCTGACAATATGTCCAAAGTGTGAGAGACGAAGTTTGGCCATCTTGGCCTCCAAGGAGCACTCTGGCTGCACTTCT